AATGTGGATGCGGTACTCAGCACTTTGAACTACTCTTTCATCTCACTTGTTTTTGTTAAGTTCATGGAGGGACCTTCATCTCTTTTACTTAGTTATTTCTTACCTGAGGGGAGCCTAAACTGCTGTGTTGACACTTCTTCAGGAAATCCTATACTGGCCTTTACATGAAGTCAAAGGAGAACTCAGAAGGAAAAAAGAAAGTAAAACTGCTCCACTGTGATAAGTCCTATCTTTATTATAAGAATCACATTCTGAAATATAAGTTGGTCTAGCTGTATTTTTCACACAAATAAGGTAAAATGTCCCATAAAAATAATTCTGGTTGAAGAGCCCAAATTTAACCTTGTATCACTAATTTAAATTTTGAAGATACTTAAATTTAATAGTCATAGCCTCTTCTACATAGTTTTCTAAGAAACTGCTTAAATAAGGACTTTATGTATATGGCATCAAACAGCTGATGGTGGCAGAAAACCATTTATTTAATAACTTAAAACATGGAGTTCATAGTTGGAACAACTTATATATAAATACCATATTTGATATAGAACCATGAAGTGACCATTTGTTCTCAGGAAGCACAGTTCCTGTCAGTTCCACACACTATTGTCTACTTAATGTCCCTGATTTTATGACAAATATGGTTAGCAAATTACTATAAAATTAGTTAATAACAAAAATGCATTACATAATAAAGTAGAAGATAGTGCAAGTTATATACCTACCTCATTTTTTAAATTATCTGAAGCATTCAATGCAGATTTTGGATCATCACTACCCTTTTCACTTGCTGCAACTTTTGATTCAAATTCTGATTTTGTTATCTTTCCTTTGCCATGTGAAGACGACGCATTTTCTATATGCTGACCAACAAGGCTATTTGAAACCAAACGATATATTAAACAAACAAATTTTAGCAGGATAACAAGTTTTATACAATCTAAATTGTTACAACTATCATGTACAAAGCAAACCAAGAAAAGAATACGAAGAGATGAGCTTTCTCTCAATCATAAAGTGGAATTAAGCATGAACCAAAGTCCATTCAAATGTGGTACTGCTGTTATTACAGAATCATACCAACAAAAAACAACTGCTCATACCCACCTTTCAGGTGGACTGACAAAGGAAGGTTGTTCAACTGAAGCACTTGCATCAGGGGCCTCACCAACATCACAATCAGTTTCAGATTGCTCAGTTTCACTTGTTTTGGCTATAGGGATAGTACCAGATTTTTCTATTTCACTAAGAAAAGAAACAAGAAGACAATCTGGTGATTAAATGAACTTAATGTAATATAAGCTAAAAATGCTACTAGTCATTTCCAAAACATAATCTAAGACAAAGAAAGAAGAATGCTTTACAATTCTTCTATGCACTTTATATATACAGACTCATTTGATAATGGAAATGCTTAATGTAGGATTAAGAGATGGGCATTCTGTTTTGTTGTTTGGAGTGTTGTTGGAAGGAGCAAAGAGGAGTACATAACAGATTTCCTAAATCAAAAATAACTTAAGCCTAAATTCTGAGTATTTATTATCAAACTGAAAAAGGTAGCTATTCACACAAAGACATAATTATGAATGAAATGGATATGTAATGGAAATGAATAACCTAACATTTCAGCTTTTGATAATTATAGGAAAGATTATTCGAATAAGCACTATGTTTCCTAAGTAGAACCTCTAGACTATGCAGAGATTTCACAGCTGGGATCTAATCAACTTCATTGAGTTAGCTTAAGAAATAAACTCATTATAAATTCATTACATTCCAAACATACATACACAAAACACAGGCATTGTAACTTAGGTCTTCTATCTAGCCTACACTTCAAACTTTGAGTATTCAAGCTGCCTAATCTTATTAAGAAATTTTTCTATCATTAACTAGGGAGATTTTTTTTTTGTAATTACTTACTCAAGCTTTGAGACAGGAGTGATTTCTGAGGTAGATGAGCTGGAAATATTTTCAACATTTTCACTGCCCACAACTACACTGGAAGAATCTTCATGTAAATCAACTGTAGGGAGTGTCTCAACTACAGGTGGACTTAACTTTTTTGACTCCATTTTCTGTTTTTTTTTAAAAAAAAAAGCTATATTAAATGTTGAGAATAGTAAATCATCTCTTTAGATAAATAGGAGTTTACAGAAAGTATTTCCAAAAAATGACAATATAAATAATGTTCACTAAAAAAGTACTTTTATAAAAA